TGTGATTTAATTGAGATTTTTCACACATGCCCATTAAAGTGAATAAGAATGGATCACGAGGTGAGTGGTTTCTTCACTCTTTTGTTTCTGTTTTCTATTTGAACTGTCTGAAAGTTCAGGTCATAAAATATGACTCGTTTCCTGAATGTGCTTGTGAAGAAAAAAAATTGATGGTTGTTTAAGTACTTAATCCTATTTCTATATAAAAAATATCAGTGACAGTCTGTTTAGTAGGTTGTGTACGTCTACTTTAGATGATCTTAATTGAATGATTGGATATGTCATAAATGTTGAAAGTTTTAAATTCCAAATCTTATAACATCGGTACGATTTACTAACTGATTTCGTAAGGGCGATAAAGCATCATATCATTCGTGTGACAGCCAGTACATGTAGCCTGTTCATGTAGCTAACTAAATGAAACATGGTGCTTTAGTCTAATCACATGCATTGCTTTTTTAATTAATCGTAAAGCTATTCTAGTCTTTTATGCACCATTGTTAAGTATACTGTGTAGTAAGAACTCGTTTAGTCTACTATCAAAGGTCCTAATATATCTCAACCACTCATCTTACGTAGTCTTCAAGCCTAGGTTATAACATGGACTATGCTCGTGCAGGCACTCTATTGGACGATTACTTTTTTTAAAAGCTTAGACGTTTTTTGGATTCGCCTAGTTTTGTCCGATCTCAGGCTGGTCCCAATTAGGACATTTGTAGTAAGATCTTTATACGTTGTCTTAGAATAAAGTAAGGTTTGATTTCTGTATCTAAAGCACTGACTAACAATTTTTAACTGGATGTCAACCTTGGGTTACCCTGGGTTAAGTAATCAGTGCACTTTTGTAGTTGATTTTTGGGCTTGTTTTGTAAGAACTTAATTGTTACCTTATGTTACTGTTAAGAGGTTCTCTTGTTATCAATGCATTACTGAATATGCCTTAACATGTTATCTGTTATTAAATTTATAATTGAAATAGATATGGAGATGTGTAACCTGATTTCTAGTACTTATAAATAAGTCCGTAATCCATTGACAAAAGACTTAATCTTCTTGTGAACCTTTTTATGAATCTCTGATTGGGCACTGCTATTTCATGTCTTAACGACATCTACTACTTTGAGATTTTATTTACTTCGTGACGGAAATCAGACAAACCCTGGAGTTCGAATGATTGTTTCTAAGGTTCTGGTGGTGAAATAGACCACATTGTGATTGTACATCGTTTAGCTTGAGTGCCATGGTGCAATTTTTCTGTTTGTGACAATTCAACCAACCTACACTCTTTGGTGTTGTTTGTAGCTTAAGGAAAACTGACAGCTCATGGCCATCCATACGGCAGTTTATTTCTTATTGGAGAATCTCGGAGAAAAACAAGATTATTGTCGGTGTTTTTTATTACTGGATTTAAATTCTTAAGGGTGACTGGTTAGGCCTGGTCACAGTTATAGAGTATCGGCTTTCAATTTTAAAGTTAACTTCGTACTTTCTAAACCTTACCAACGTATCGAAACCTTGAATAGCCAAGTGAATTTGGTACTTTAGGACTACTTCCTCTTTTTAATCATGGTAAGATTTCACCTTCAATTCTGATTATCTGTGTGAAAAATTTGACGACTGTTACATCGCAGTACAGCTAGTAGCATAAATTTGCTCCTGGAACTGAGATTTTCTGCCTTTATTTTTACCACTTCTCAACGGACTGTGCTTACATGGTGGAACATCGGTTAATGAGTGTTTCGGACAATACATTCCAATTAGGTTGTTATGGTGAGAGCGCCTAATTATTATGTTGAAGCTGCATCAATTTGGTTCATAGTTTGTCGATTATCTTAGTACGTACTGTTTACCCATTAAAAGTTAGATGTTACATCACTAAAAATATGACATGAATATTCCTAAGGGGTTAACTTCCTGTTATCACTATTTTAATTCATCCAGTTTTCACCCTTTTTGATCTGTTAAGCATTAAATCTCTTAGTTCTCCAGATCTTTGGATTTCTTTCTCACATGAAAACAATCAATATTGTGCTTTATTCTTCAACACTGGCTAAAACCAACCAAATAAAATGTCCAATACATCCACTAAAATTAGTTGTGTTACATGACTATTCAGTACACTTTTTTGGGGATACTAGAATTTAGCTGTAGAAAACCATGCTGATGAATAACAGTAAGCACTAACACTCGATTCTAAAGAACTAGTTGTCCAATGCTGATAACAGTCCAAGGAATAAATTTATGCAACTACCGGGTTAAAAGTGTTTCAAGTTTATCCGTTTTTATTTGTCTACCTTTTCATTCATGTGAAGCTTATGATAATAATAAAATCAAATATGAGTGGAATATTGGCATTTATAAGAGTCAAGAAAGTAAAAAATATTGAAGCTACCCTGGATTATATTGTGACGTAATCTGGTGACTGATACTATTCTCCCTCATTAAATTAGTTGTTATTACGAGCAATATTATTTTTTTCTCAGTTTTCATTAAAAAGGTAAATTGGCACAACAGAATATAACCTCAGATAACAAGGACAATATAAAACAATATTTGCGTACGATGAACATGATTAACTAGAAGTACCAATCTACTAAATCATGGATAAATGAATAATCATTTGTACTAGAATATGATAAGATAAAAAACAGACAGGTAATGTCCAGTTGAATGGTTTATAAAGGTCGATCCAATTTACACGTAGTTTTCGTCATAACTCAAAGTAAGCTGAAGGATCAGTGGAAATTAAGGAACATCGGACAGCTATTTTATTTTAGTTTAGTACTGGTTTTCAGTGGGTATTCCCACTGATAGCAGTTTTCTTACGAAAATGATCTTCAAACAGATTTTTGTTTAAGGGATATATATATATATATATATATATATATATATATGCTGGAAGTTCCTGGTACTAGTTATTTCTAAGTGTTATTTAATCGTTACTGACCATAGATGTTTTTTGAAATTTGTTTCTCAAATTTATGCTGAAAATTTAATTTGTATAGAAATATTAGGAATAGATGGACTATGGTTAGCAGGCGAATCCAAGGCATGAGTCTCGTTGGCTTCATGTGCCTCGGTTGTACCCAAACTTGGAATCGAACTTAATACGTTTTCCTTCGAACGTTAAGGTTAATTTTTGTTTATATCTGAAAAGTTTCCGATCTTACAGGAATCAATCGGATACAATGTACTTGCCCTTATTTCTGGATTGTTTGACCTGCAAGTACTGGAAATAAGAAACATATTTAACTGATTGATGTTAACACCGAGATCTAGGTACATCCAACTAGTGGGTCCCAGATAAGACAAAACGTGAGTCCTGGATTCCACTGCTAACCACATTCCATCTACTCAATAAACTACTGGGAGTTGAAATTTTGACAGTATAGAACAGCCACTTATGTTTATTTTACCTAGTTAGATATATCTGAAAGTATTGGTTGTGATTGAGTGGATATGTATGCTACAAACAGGAGGAAACGGGGAAGTAACACAAAAACTTGGATGGATACTCAATCATTAGTATAAATAGAAGCATCCATGCAAACATAAGTCATCAGTCTGACCAGTTTAGTCCTCCCAAGTAACAGCTATAGCAATACTATTACAAAAGTTAAGAATCAGTTGCAAACTCATCAATTTATCTATCTACCATTCTAGCAAATCTAGATGCTGGGATTTCGATGTTGTATACGATCAAATGTAGCATCATTCAAGTAAAGAGATCCGATGATTTTATGAATAACTCTTAGTGGTAATTATTTTCTTTCAAGTCTTTTCATCAATAAACACTTCGTTTCACTTTGTAAAGTAATATCCATAAATTTAAATCAACTGTATATACTTTGTATACGAGTTACTTTGAATAATCCGATTTGGAGTAGATGTTGAAGTTCCAGGGTAGATTAAGTAATAATTATTTAAATGGTAGTTAGCTTTAATAATATACAATGCAATGAGTGTTTCTGTATCGTTTGGTTTATAAACTTTGTGAAAAGTATGCATTCGGTAAATTACCAAGCAAATACTTCGTATCCGTATACAAAACAATATAATTCCAAACAATTAGTCCCTTTGATAAATTTCGATAATGCAATGAGAAAACGAAGTTTGTCAGAATTATGATGATAATTCTGATAAACTTCGTCTTCTCATTGCATTATCGAAATATAATTTCAAAAAACTAGGAAGAAATGTTTTAGTTCCCCGAGCTGAATATGCATTGGGGTGCACATATGGTACTGATGATAGACAAAAGGATAAATACAATGTAGGACATAACATGAACATGTTTCGACCGAAGTTATCACATTTTACCTCAATAAAATGAGAGAAAATTGACAAGACGTGAGACAAAGATCTATTCACTCTTTGTCTGCCCTCAGTTTCCTCACTTTTGATTATTGTATGTACTACGTTTTGTTGTTTTTTGTCGACTCACCATTGGATTCATTACCTACATTTGTTTAGTTATATGACAATGTTATGCTAATATTTAGATCTGCAAATCAGAGGATGTTTAATCAAAAGTAGCTATATAAAGAGTAACTAAATGAAGAATTTTCCCGATTGATCCTCTGGCTTTAATATTAGTTATCATTTTGTGAGAATGCTCATTTTTTCAACAGGTTGCAAGAGTCTGTGAAGCTTTTTTTCATTCTGTCTTAGAGTTAAGATATCTTCATGTGTTCTTGACATTAATACGTAGCTGCACACATATGCTGGGACTCAGAAAACATTGTCTCAGTTATTTGGGTTTTCTTTCAAAAATCGACTTACCCCGGAAATGTTGGTCATCGGCTACCATGGGACTGCATCTCCTTACGATGCTCCACTGCCTTGTGGACCAGACCTTCAGGTCAAAGGCTCCGAGTGTGCCCCCCTAAGAAAACCACCTGCTTCAATCTGGGCACCCGGTCAGTATCACAGCCCTCACACAAATCGAATGAGATTTGTGTGGCGCATATATATCTGGTGCCTCATTGTACCTATATCTATGTGTTCAAATAAATAAATAAATGTTTATTTTCCGTTCATTGATAACTAGGGCCACAGTGTCAATCTCTCATTGGTGCTTTTGTTGGACAGTGGGAAACTGGAAAGTTGCAAAGGTCTATTTGATATACGCAAATAGCTTGTATACCGTATAGCTAAACTTTAAGGGATTTTACTAAAATCCTTTATGGAAGAGTTTTAAATTAGATGTAAAACAGTCTGTCTTTGAAGTGAGTGTTTCTTGTAAATAAAAATTCCAAGATGATATATCCTAATTAACTATCAAGGTTACTAGGATCTAACTTGTGTTGCGATATTGTTTTGCCACTGCAGTGCTGTTACCAAATGTACTAAGTTGACTAGTAAGGTAATAACAAAAGTTTAGATTAACTACAGACTCATATGTTTAAACGGGTCTCGGAATTTTCATTTAGTGTCCTTAGGCACTCTGGTGAAACTCCTGTTTAGAACAACGCTTTTTATGAATTATTTACATCTGTTAACAACCAAATACTGCAGATTGTAGTAAAATCTATGTCAAAAGAAATTTTCTAGTCATTCTTTTTCTCAATCGTTATGTCTCTAATTAGAAACTTCATGTTCGGATAATGACGTAATACACAAGAAGTAGAACATGAACGAAATGTCCATGTGAATAAACACTGACCTAAATTAAATGAAAAATCAATCTAGCTCATTAAATCGATTATGAAAATCACAGTCGTCACTGACTTGACCTGGGATTTCAACCCATAATCTGAGTGAACTTGCTTTTTTCTCTCATTCCAAGTAATTTTAAAATACCATGTTATTAAAAATAGTATGGGAACCCTGTTTAGACAATAGCATTTAGGTTGTACTATAAACTGGCTAAATAAATTCCAGACGATGGAGTGATGGGAATTTATTATCTAGTTGAATGGGAAAAATTTTTATGAAACGTGAGCTAAGACGCATATATGCCTTCCTGAATGTTATTTTCTCCACTAATTAACATTTAATACCCAATTAGGAAATGACAAATCAAGGTAAATTGGTCAAATATTCACCATTCTCAAGAGGTACTAGGCCGATAATATTTTGGAATATTTTTTTCTGGATTTTTCACAATTCGTTCTTGATATATATGTGGAATTCCTTGTAAATCTTCAACACTATAAATTTTATTAACGGTATGAAAAGCTGATGTTATTGACTGAAATCCTAATTTAAGATATTCTCGAATTAGTCTAAGCTTGAAATCTCATACAAGGATGATAGATTATGTTAAAGAAAATGATCAAGAATGTCATGGAGCTATCGATAGAGGTTTGTAGTTACGTTTCAATTGATTATTACATTTTAATGACCTTAACAATTTGATCTACATTTTATTGCCAGATCAGTCTTAAGGATAATTGACAAAAACTCGTGCTATAATTTCATAGTTGTTTAGTCGCTATAGAGAGAGAGAGATAGTGAGTGAGTGAAGGATAAGCGCTTTTCGGTTGATGATCACTTTCGATGAAAACTGGTTTAACTCGATCGATGCTAGTTACATCTATCTTTCCAGCTTTTTCTACGGTAACTGTTTTATCTATCCTCGTAATCACTTAAACGGACCGTCATAATTTGGCCGCAAAGGTGGTTGTGCATTATCTCTTCTAATAAATACATGAGTGCTATCATGTAGTGCCTGCAGTACAAACACGTCGTTGCTGTAGTCTGCGAAGTGTTCTTTTTAAATTGTCCATGTGTTTCTTTAGGCGCTATGCGTAGTTGGCCACATCAGTCGGAACACTTTTACCTGAAGCAAAAAATCCTTCGGGTAAACGTAGAGTAGTTCCATATGCCAACTCCGCTGGACAACATCCAATATACTATTTAATTGTTGTTCTTAAATTTACCGTGACTATAGGAAGCTTATTGGCCTAATCGTTGTTTGCAATGACAGTAGTTAGAGACGCTTTTAACTGCCTATGTAGGTGTTCAACCATACCGTTTGCCATCGGATGGTAGGATGTTGTGCGAATACGTTTAATCCCAAGGAATTCTGGAAGAGGCAACTTTCGGATTGGGCTCCTCTATTAGTTGTGATCATCTATGGCACTCAATAGCAAAATACCCAAGTAATGATCAGGGCTTTGACGAAAGACTCGGCTGAGATGTCCTTTATCGGTACCTTCAGGCCATCGCGTGAATCTATTGATCCATGTAAAGATGTAGCTGCAGCCATTCGAGATCGGTAGTGACCACTCGATATCGATGTGTATATGTTAGAATCTAATATCTGGGTGAGAGGAAGAACACGCTGCAGAACTAGTATGGTGATCTACATTGACTTTTTGACACTTCATATATGCCTGTGTCCAATTACGCACCTACCGATTTAGGTTTGGCCATACGAAGCGTTTGCTGATTACATTCACCGTGGCTTTTATTCTTGGATGTGATATATTGTGTATACTTTCGAATACGTTAGATCTTAGAACTCAGGGATGCTTATCGACGTCCGACAATGATAGTTTTTATTGAATTAAAATAAGCATTTGACTCGGTAGAACGAGAGGTTCTGTGGCGGTGTCTGTCATTGAAAGGCGTACCTCAGAAGTACATAAACCTTGTGAAGGCTCTTTACTCGAACACTAACAGTCGAGTCAGAGCTTATGGAGAACTGTCATTCGATTTTACAACCTCAAGTGGTGTCCAACAAGGCTGTCCACTATCTCCATTTTTGTTTAATTTCATCATGGACCTACTGTTGGAAACAACACTCTAGTCAACTGAATGTTCAGGAATTGATCTCCTACCATGAGGTCCACTGATTGACTTGGAATACGCAGATGACATAGTCCTGTTTGGTGAAGACGCTGACAAGATGCAGAGTCTTTTGGTAGAGCAACAATCTGAAGATGCTTGGAATGCATTTCTCCCCCTCTAAATGCAAATTGTTGCTTCGTGACTCTCCTGCATCAATACCTAACTAAGGATAAAGAGTGAAGTAGTCGAACGAGTCGTCACTTACCTTGGAAGTTTGATCAGTCGTAATGGGCTGATGTCTGACGAAATCTGTGAACGGATTCAAAAAGCTGTTTTGGCTTTTCCAACTTACGTCACCTATGGTGAAGGAGAGAAATGTCTATCAATAGAAGGACGAGTATACTGTGCGGCAGTTCGTTCTGTTCTATTTTACGGCTGTGAAACGTTGCCACTAAGGGTAGAAGATACTCGCACGTCATTAGTAATTGATCACAGATGTCTTAGAAATATTTCCAGCATCTGCTGGGATCACCGAGTAAATAATACTGAGTTTAGACGCAGGGTATTAGGGAATGATGGTAAATCTGTTGATGGCTTTATGAATCTTCGTCGACTGAAATGGTTGGGCCACGTATCACGCATGCCTGAACACCGGTTACTAAGACTCTCAATGCTGACTAGTGTTGAAGACAGTTGGAAGAAAGTTAGGAGCGACCAAACCAAAACTTGGCATCAGTGCTTGAAGTAACTAAATTCTAGTCTGAGCCATGTTGGTAGATGCAGACTACTTGGTTGTGGTCTGCACGATTACCGTAATCAATGGTTGAAGACTGTGTGACATGTCTCGGAATCGACCACAATGGCTTCGGTGTATATACATTTTGTCTCCCCTTAAAGTATGAGACTTAAATTACTTTATATCCTTCTTTCTATGAACTAATTCTCTGTTCTTGTATTATATATATTTTTCTTCATTACCATTGAAGTAACTGATTCTATGAATTCGGTATTCATGTTGTTGTGCTAATGAGGTATGGGAACTTTGATTGATGCATAGATGTGCCTGATCTTACGTTGTAGCTGACTGACTTTTATATACGTCTTGTCGCAATGGTTTCAGGATCAACGGTTGTAGTCGGCCTATTGACATATCACACATTACTTTGACGATACCCAGATAAAAATCTCCGAATACTAATGATATTGTGTCATCGGATCTTAGCTTTCTTAATTCCGTTTTCGTCCTTTGCAACTTCGCCAGATCGTGATAATTGATTACACTTAGGATTAGAGTGCTTATCGTTGTTCTTGATAGTTCATCTGCTACTGTTAATCTTTTCGGATCTCACCTTCATGGCCTTGCATTAGTTGGTGGCCTGTTCGTTACAACAAGATGCTGAACAGAGTCCTTGTGATCCACATTATTGTTCGTTATTTTCATGAGCTCGGCAAACTCTGTTAAAAAATATTTGTATGGATGGTTTTTATCTACCACCAAATTTATGGAAACAGACTCCGTATGTATTCTTATCGTAGTGTTATGGTTACCGTTTACTAGTCAGCGTTGTCGTGAGTCGTTTAGTAAATCGAAGTTCTTTAGAAAACCTATGCCTATTATTGGCACGGACACATCTGCTGTGACAAAGCCTCAGAGATACTAAGCGCCTCAACCAAAATTCAGGCTCAACTTCCGTTTGTTGTACGTTTTAATATCCAATTCGCTCGTTGCTCTTAGTACTAGTGACGTATTAACGTTTCTTCTTCCATCGCTTACTGGAGGTACGACGCTAATTTCTGCCCCAGTTTCAAATAAGAATCGTGCGCCCGTCGTTCGGTCTTGTATGTAAAACAGGTGGCTGTTTGTAGGAATTACACTAGCTAATTCAGTCGTCATGGACAATCAGGGGGATTGTTCCCCTGTTATTTTAAATATACTAGGTTGTCTGCACTTTCTAGCTTTGTAGCCGTACGTTTGGCGATGCCAACATATCAATGGAGCTAAACGTCTTCTACGGGGTGGTCGGTTCCTGTTGCATGAGCTATCTCGCGACCATCTTCGTGGCCTTTCACTGTGTCAATTCTGTCAGCTGGCGACACAAAACACATCTTTTTCTGCAGCGTATTGATCCTGTCATCTACCGTGTTATGTAGTATCTCTTTCGTATATCCTATCAGCTATTTTTGCTATATTGTCTGTCTACATCGGTATCTCCGATGACTATTGTCTGTTTTATATTCAACGGGATTCGGCGAAGCCACAGTTGATAAAATAGGCTGTTTTCTATTTTTCCTATCACCCAGCAGACTTTTCATATAATTTTTTAGCTGTGATGGAGCTCTATCTCCCATTTGCACTTTGTTAATAAGCTGATCAACAGCTTGTTGTTCGATTAAAGAGATAGTTTAAATTACGGCTTGTTTTAGTACGTCGTATGGCCACTCGGGGCCCGTTTTGGCTAAATCCTTTTGTGCACTATCCGCCACTTCGTCTGGGAGAAGCGTGGTTGGATGGCCGAATTTATCTCTTTGTAAATTAATGCGGTTAGCCAAAAAGTAAATTTCGAGTCTAGTAAACCACAGTTACGGGTCAATAACTTTAAAAGGGAGAACAGAGAGATTAAGGGCCTTCACAGAGTGCGTTTGTGGCAAACTTAACATAGTATTTTCCGAAGACATGTTTATAAAAAAATAAGTAGTACACGAATAGATTAATGTAAATGTCAAAAAGAGAAATGGACGAATAACAATAATGATAATAACAAATGGTACAATTTATAACACAGAACAAACTTACTAAGTCGCACCAGCATATCAGTTGTTTGTGAATTGTATTTATTTATTATGAAAATAATGATATAAGAAATCCACAACTATGATTATAATCCAGATAATAATCCGAATCGAGATAAGATGCGTTGAATATTCGAAATTAAATCGTATCGTCGAAAATTGCGTCGTGTTCGCACATATCGGGCTAACCAATTCTGTATTATATTAGCTTCGTTAATCGACCACTTTGATAACCATTAGTATATAAATTCCCAACGGTGTTTGAAGTCAGAAGGCAACGACAGTTTACTGGTGGATAACACGGACAACAAGTCTACAAGCATACCGAGCGAATTTGGAGCAAAGAGATTAGCATGTGTGAGTGAGCGAATACATAGGAGAATTTATAGTCAAATCATATCAAGGCGCAGATAGGCACGGCAAAGGCTTAGCAAGGCAAGGCAAAGACTATTAATAGGATTCGAGCATATATATACATAGGAAAGAGAATGATTCATCGAGCGATATTCAAGATATTAACATTTAAGCTAGAGAGGGATATGTGCGTAGACTGTCTCATGTGGTCAAGTGTACACGTTTATACAGACAAGATAGTGATCACAATACCACAAAGAAATAAACAAATTGTTACTGTCCGAATAACATTGTCTGTTAAGTAAGTTGATAAAAGGGCTTGACAAAAGTTAACCCTGATCGTAATTAGCCGTAAGTGTTGCTATTATATATATATATATCCCAATGAGTAGGAATTTGTATTTCTTACATTTCATGACTCAATGCAAGTCAGTTCTTCAGAGTAAATAAAAATATTATCAGAAGGGGTATTCTGGAGATTTAGTATTTTCATAGTTGGAAGCGTGAGCCCATTGAAGCTAGATCACCATGGAAAACCTGGAAGCACTGGACGGCCGTTTCATCCTATTATGGGACTCCTCAGCAGTGCACATCCACGATCCCGCACTCGCGAGATTCAGCTATAAATAAAAATACCTAGTTTAAATCTCTAGTATCACCATATTTGAAATTCATGAGTGATCTATCTGCGGAATTGATATCAAACCTACAAATCTACGGAAAGATAAGCTGCTGCACCTTATGTTTATAAAACAACAGGGGATATATCTTTTTGTCATTCCAAGTTTGTTATCATGTAGCCGAGTAACAGATTTTTGCATGTTTCTATGACATGATAGTTTTTTTTTACCTCAAATACATTAGATCTAAAGACCCTTCTTATTCAATTTATCTGCCTTTTGTTCATCATGAAACATACTGTGTGTTTGCGTAAATTGTTAGTTTATGCTTTTCAGTTATTATCAAACCAATAACCAAACTATTCATCAGAGAAATGAATATTACGTGATCGGATCGAATCCCAGTAATTATATATATATATATATATATATATATATATATATATTATATATATACATATATTATATATATATATATATATTATATATATATATATCTTGTTTTGAATCAATCGGCAATCATGATTAAATTTTGAGCATATTCATCAATTCACTTTAGAAAAAGAACTGGGTTTTTCTTAAATAACAATCAGACAAAATGAATATTTGTCTCTGATCTGATCGTTACCTGACTCATTCATGCTATCATCATGAATCATCTCATATAACTTTTATTCTTCTTTTCAATTGTCTTTAGGTCATATTCGACACATGCCTTTACGATGACTTATTGTGTTTAAACTAGATTAGCCCAACAGTTCATTCGACCTTAAGTGGGTTGTGTGCAGTTCTGTTGTTTATGTGTATATGCATGTATTAACGTTTTGATGTGTGATTAGAAAAGGGTGGATTCAAACGTTTTATGCTAATCGATTGGTCTATATTGAATGCACAAATGAGGGGGTGATAAATTGATCTATGCCTAGATGATGATTATTTTTATATTTTAAGATGACTCAACCAATAATCTCTGATTTCCTCTTGTTCACATATAAATATTTTTTTCAATTGTAAAACAGTGAACTTGCTCCACTGTCTATAAATGTACGTTAGTAACTCTGTCTGAGATATAAATGAATCTGCTGTTAATATCAAAGCACTTGGCGAGTACAAATATTACCGTGGTAAGTAGGCAATTTTATTTGTAATGATGTTTAAATGAAATGTTTTGTTTTCATTATTTAATAAAAAAAAAATTATGTAAAAAGATAGAGTTGTCTTTTATCTATGAAATATAAGTTTATTACAGTATAATTTCTATGTACTTTCACAATATCTGAAAATACTGACATAGTTACCTGAATAGTTCAAATGGAATCTTGAGACTATTAACTAAATGATGTTGTATCTTCGTAATAGAATATGCTATTCAGTGATTGTTCAGTAATCTTATTTAGTTTGATAATAAAGAATGAAATGATCGTGTATACCAGCCACTTCACGTACTATTTCATTAGATATAGTCTACTTTCTAGCATAACCTCTGTTGTATGACTCATCATCTACTATTAGGTAATGCCTATTCATTCTGGGAAATAACTGAAAAAAATATGAAGGTATTTTACCACTGTTGTTGTCTATGGATTCGCTATTAGTTGTCAGATCACCTGACTTTAAATGAGTAACACATCAACTGTTGAATGATTGATGGACAAATTTCTGTACTTCTATCCTAATCAAACATCCTCTGGGTCACGAAACAGTACATTTCACTTCTCTTGTAAGTCTCATGAACATTGGTATCTGATGAAGTCCCAACACAGATCCAGAACATTCTCTTGACGTTTACCAACTTGCGTTACATGTGATGGCACGTGAAAACAAACGATATACGTAGGCTTGAAGTGTTTGACCATAGGTATCAGGTGCACTGTTCGTGTATTATGGACCAACTTTGTGAATAATGTTAACGTTATATGCATTGTACTAGGCAAAGATGGCGAATCATTTAATGAAACTACAATCTTTATAGACATAAATGTCTGGGACATGCGTTGCGTATGCTTAAGTACCGCCTATCTTCACTTGAACTGATGGCTGGAGTATGAATAAGTTGGAAGAAGTAGGGAGTCAAACCAAGACATTATCTCACGAAATCACTGACTTTTTGCCTGAGCTGTGTCAGTAGCTTCAGACTACCTGGGTAAGGTCTACAAGTTAATTGGGATCAGTAGTCGAATAAGTTGTATGATGTTGCTCGAAAATCGATTCATATTATTTGGTACTTCTTATTCATCTAATTCACCCCTTCTATCTGGACTGTATTTTCTTACGTTTAATCTTTCTCACTATCATTGACACTGTTATTGTTTTAAATCTATTGTTTTTTCTACCTGGTTCAATTAGTCTGACTACCCTGACTCTTGATATGGTAAGTTGAGTTGATTCATATATATATATATATATATATATATATATATATATATATATACGAGGCTATATGTTGATTGTAATTAACCAACTGACAGCACAGATTCAAGTTATGATTCGTAATTTTTCGAACAAGAAAAGCGTTGATATGCACATTCCTGCTTATTCGTATTGGTTTTATTTATTTATTTGAACACATTTGTACAAAGGGGTACCGAACACAAATGGTTTTATACAATTAGATTAATGTCTCATCTTTCAGACATTACTTGACTCTTTGTGTAGTGTCAACATTGAGTTAACGATATATTTGGATAGTATTATTTTCACTGATTTGAATAATATTAAGATATATCTCATTTTTCGAGAGGTATATTAGGTTAGTCGTGTAAAAAAACTTGTTTTGTAGGTTTTATTAGTTTGAAAAATAATTTTGGACTAGGTCTTCATAGATGCTACGTGTTTCTCAACTAAATTCCATGATAAAGTTGATGAGTTCTATCATGATTAACGTTGAAATTTTGTTGAGTAAAAGATCTATTTATTGTATATTAAATTATATCACTTGTTTATGTGTTTGAACTTGAAAGATTAACACTCAAAATATAATAGTTTGTGGTAAATGAGTGAAAAAAATCTGTATTATTGTTATTGTTATTATTATTATTATTGGTAGTAGTAGTACTAGTAGTAATAATATTAGCAAAGATGGATGATAGCTAGCAGTGGAATTCAAGACTCGAACACAATACCGTTCGTTTCAAACGCCATCGCGTCCCGGAATGAACATCAACTCTGGGATGCAGGTACATTAAGCCAGCGAGTCCTAAATAGGACGAAACGTGGTTCATAGATTCTTTTGCTAGTCACTGTCCATCTTTGCTTATAATTCTTGTGACTTAAGGCAATATCGAGGCAATCTGCACAAGATGCACATAAACCAATAAGATCGATCAATTTCAGTCCCATACATCAATGGGAAGATTCAAACAAACAATACAAAAAATTAAATTCAACTTAGTATTGTTTGTTTAAATCTTCCCATCGATTTGTTCGGACTGCAACTGGTCAGTCTCTAATTGGCATATGTGCATACTGTGCGTATTGCCTCGATATACCTTAATTCACAAGCATGGTTAGCAGAGATGGATAGTGGCTAGCAGTGGAATCCAGGACGCGCGTTTCGTCCTATTTGGGACTCGTCAGCTGGGCGTACCTGCATCTCAGAGTTGATGTTCACTCTGGGACTCGAACCCATTACCCTCGCTTCAAACGCCATCGCTAGCCACTATCCATCTCTGCTAACCATGCTTGTGAATTAAGGTATATCGAGGCAATACGCACAGTATGCACATATGCCAATTAGAGACTGACCAGTTGCAGTCCTAACAAATCGATGGGAAGATTCTAACAAACAATACTAAGTTGAATTTAAACTTCACCCCATCGCACAAGCAAGTGGCTATCAGAACTCAGTGGCCGAGTGGATAACGCGATGGCGTTTGAAGCGAGGGTACTGGGTTCGAGTCCCAGAGTGAACATCAACTCTGAGATGCAGGTACATCCAGCTGACGAGTCCCAAATAGGGCGAAACGCGCGTCCTGGATTCCACTGCTAGCCACTATCCATCTCTGCTAACCAATACAGAAAATTATTATTATTATTATTCTAACAACTGATTATTTAAAAATCCATGGAATTTTGTAGAGCGCCGTCTATGTATTTTATTATTTATGCTTTCGATGGAACATCCAGACAGATTTGTAGAATGGTCCGTAAAGTACTGATATGCAGACTTGAATAATTTACTAATAACAGCTTAATAACTGAACTTGACACATTAATCTGATACTCATTCATCATAAACATCTGATATTCCCAGTTTGGAATAGAATTCTTAGATTAGGCTATAATAATCGGATCCCAACTGAGAGAGCTATCTATAGCCAATAAGATGTTTGTAGCTGGAAAGAATATTCGATTTTCGTGTCTTTCATTACTCTACGTGTATTTGTTATCACGTTTCGTCAAGTTACATTGCAATAACCTTATATTTAGTGTGAAAAAATACGGTTTTAAACAAAGCCGTATACTTGTAACCTATGATATAGAGGTTACTCTACTATCTTTCTTTGATCCAGTCACAGTTTCTCGTATGATACTTTTCTTAATTTTATTCTCAATAAAGTTACTATTGCTATTTTGTATTTGTGAATTGAAAAAAGAAGAAATATTGACATTTCTGATTGTAGTTGACTTGTTCGTGCGTATGATTGTATATACACATATTTATGGATGTGTGTATGCAGTTTTTACATAATTTTCATCTTATTTATTTGTTTATTTGTCACGTTTATATGTGGTCTATTTTCTTTTTGTTTCGTTCTCTTTTTCTCTATAAACACATTTGCTTAGCGAGCCTACATTTACTTACGAGGTTTACAAAAAGTCAAATTACTACTACTGTTTACAAGAATTTCTTTGGTCAGTGATAAACTATTTTCTGAAAATCCGATTTGAACAGTCATTTCATCTGTTAATTAATTAATTAATCCTACTTTGAGTACAATACAAAATAATAACAAAGGATCTTGAAAAATAAATAAATGTCAGGTAATTTTGTACTTTTCTTTATTATCTTTCATCTTCGATGGTTTGTTGTGCTTATTTTTTACTGGTACCAGTGACTAGATCTTGCCCTCTTAGAAAATTACTTTCTACCATTGAGATTTGAGAGTGAACTGAAAAAAACTGTAATATGGAATAAGTGTATTTCATTCATATTTAAAGTGTGTCAACAACGTACGTACTTTAAAGTTGTGCTGACAAATTCCTCATCTAACTTTCAAGTTATTGATCTTTGATCTGAAAATTTACTTACAGGGTTAGGATATTCAAATAACACAGTACTATTTATAAAAGACTGATAATACTCAAAGTATTCTCAGCACCTTCGATAACAAAGTTGGATTGTTATGAATCGAATTCCTAGTCTGTAATTACAAAATATATGTTCTGAACTGGTCTGGATAATTGCTTACTGTAACAGTATGAATCGGTTAGGCGCGTTGACCATTTCACTTTTGTAGGAAGTCTCCTTAACACTAGCGGGCTTGTTTCTGAGAAAAAAACCTTGTCACTCATTCAGAAGGTTCACTTGACATTTGACAGAATATGCTACCTTTTATATCGACCAGATATCAGTAGGTAACTTCGCAACAACCCTCTCTGTTTTAACTTTTAGTTATGAAAATGCAAAGTAACAGGCACTTGACCATAGATGTCTTTTAATCATTGCATTTTGTAAGCGGGCTTCTTTATTTCAACTAAGATATTCATAATCCTTTGTATACGGTTGATACACAAATTCGTTTTTAAAATTTGATAGTTAATTTGTTTCTTATTTCTATTTCGGTACATTAATTGTTTTTAAGGTTTCTTTTTGACTAGAATATTATAGTCTTGTACAAGTGTCTGTGTTTGTATTAACCAGAAGAAACTTTAAACTTATTTAATTTACCGGTTAATTTTGTAATTTAAATTTTATTTAATCGTATTTGAGTCATTTTTCGAGTCAAAACTAAAATTGAAAATCAGTAAAGCTTAAACAACCGTTTATTGAATATGATTATTACGATAATAATGATATCCTCACCATCTGTTCATATTTTCAGTTTACGTCATCAAAGTTCTAGTTACATATTATGAATTAATGAACAATTATTTCATTTTACTCTGTAGTTGAATTACGTTGTATTGCCTTTGAATTTTTCAATATTCACTTGTACTACTCATATAGATGATGAGTAGTAGGCAGTAAGAGTCATCAAGGAAACTGCTTAGGATCCATTATTTCTTGACCGAAGTATATTTCACGAGTGTAATTGTAATGTAATTTATACTTTATTGAGACATGAATCCAAATAAAATAATCCAGTTGTTATTATTCATGTTTGGCGATTTATTGTAAAGGGTATGTACACGTGAGGCCTAAACATCCTTTGAATTTTATTACAGTATCAACCAAATGTATATTTCTTTGGTTAGGGTTTTTGCGGCAGGTTTACTTTTGCGGGGTGGGATTGTTGACCTTACGCCCAACTTTTTTCCTTTGCTTGGTCTTTTGTCTTTATAGAGGTTCCAGGTGGAGTTAGTCAAAAGTAAATGTTAACAATAAATCTTAAGATTTCACACTTCAATATTAATTAATTTAAATAGTGATATTAATGAATGAGAGAAACAAAAAGATATACAGGAACTGTTTTGTGCTTCACTGTTCAATTTTCTCTCACGATCCACATGTGTTATTCATCTAGTGGGGATAACTGAAGCTCGCATATACTATTTAGTTCATTCTTTTTTTATAGTTCGATGCAATCTAAATAATGTTGATTACAAATTTTTTCTAATTGTAGCAAATTGGATTATTTTTCTAAAAAATAGCGTCGATTGTTCCTTAGAGTGGAGATAATCTGAGCACTTATCTAGGCTGCAAAATGTAAACTTCAGACGTTCAACTACTGATAAGTTATGAAAGTAAAATAAGTCTATTCATGTTATAAAGGTTGACTTGGTATTTTCTCTGCTCTCTGAGAATATCAGTGTAAGTATTTTCCTATCAGACTATCAGATATTACGAAAGAACATATAAACGTTACATTTTATGAATAGAAAAATAACCGATTACACCCCCACGAGTTTATTAAGTTTATGTAGTGCGTATGTGCTTGCGTGTATGTGTTCAATCTATGACGTAATAATTCCTCTTTCCTAATAAATAACATTTGAGTATTATGTTCTCGAATGATCGTATATATATATATATATATATATATATATATATATATATATATATAATTATCTAACTCGTAATTCCAGCCTACTAGTGTGGTGTGGTCTACTTATATCCATATAAGTAGTATATAGTGTTGGTCAGACATAGAATGTATTTTGGCAGAAGACCGATAAGGAAAGAATTGAAACGAAGCGCAATCGGTAGAAAATTCACGAACAATGGAATTGAAGAAGAAACAGTGAAGATTGAGACTATTGGTTATTAATTTGCAAATAACTGTCCATAGTATGGTTATTAGAATTTATTGAGATAGTCTGTAATGTTTGCTTAAATACATTCGATTGTCCCCAGTCGTGTTCTTGTTCACTACACTAGTATTGCGACCTCATCTTTGTAGTCATTGAAAGTACATTGGTGGTTTTGTGGAAGTACGGAAATGCAATTTATAATAATTTTGTGCGACATAATTTACTGATTATGTTACTTATATGTATCGGATATTTTGATTTAGGTACAGTGAACCAGAGCAACACTACTTCGAATAATATTATTGTTCATCAGTAAGCCTATCTTTATTAGAAAGTCTCCACATCTGATTTCTGTTGATATTAGTAAACCCTTTTTTATTGAATTAAATATCAACTATACATCAGCGTGAACGTAATTTCCTTTGTTTTCATCTATTATTATTATTATTATTATTATTATTATTATTATTATTATTATTATTATTATTATTATTATTATTATTATCAATTCGGTCAGTTTATTGTTATTCAGAAGTTTGGATATTACTCAAACACCTATTATTTTTGACCAGATCCTTCAAATATATATTTTGTATGATCCATATTCTTTTGTCAGCATGTTACCATCTCCCTAGCTGGTTGGTTTAATTATAAAGCCGTCAATGTCTTTTTGATTAATAACTATAGTGTTGCTACCTCAAATAGAAGACACTGTCATAATTTACGTATTTTTGATAAACTACTCGAAACAGAGTCTAGTATTCGACTGTAATGTCTTATTCGAAGAGAAAATAAGAGTTCGTATTCCATCTTAATTTTAAAAGATTATATCACATTTATTTCATTGACCTCAGTTTAAAGTGTTAACTAATTTGTTTTTGTGACTGAATTAATTTATTTCACGAGAAGTATAATAGTCGTATAATATTTATGAATTATCTAATGTGTAGTTTTTCTCATGTTTAACAGTATTCTCTCTGAATATTTTCTGTAACCAGACTCATCATTTAAATGTAAATGATGTTACAACTGAATTGTTGAGTTTGACACGTGGTTATTGCTTTTGTTTCAATGCTGAATGTGATCAGTACTATATTAGTGCATTAGAGACAAATACCAAGCTAGAGAGAAAGAGATATTTAGTGGTTTATTTTCTATCTAATTAGGCTTTTATTAATTTAGAATATAAAGATCAACTGTCAGTTAATTATATGTTCATTGAGACCATGAATTGATCAATGTTAGACCACCATTGAAAAATCGCTTACGGGATCGTGGACTCACAACGCTGAGGAGTCCTACACCGGGTCGAAACGGCCATCCAGTGCTTCCAGGTTTTCAATGGTGGTCTAACACTGATCGATATATGATCTCAATCAGAACTCAACAATCTCCACAACCCTATACTGATAAATATGTTTATATTTTACATTTAACAATATTTTTCACGTTCTTTGTTTATATCAAACATATTTGACAATATTTAGAATTTGATCCAAATCTCTAATAGTGTAACAGTTATTAACTAATTATACATGTGATTTGTAATTTTTTTTTAATCATTTGTATTATAATTTGAAAAAGAAATACAATTACAATAGAATTAATTACTATTTATTTTTGACCTGGATTCAGGTTTTAAGGTTAATTTTTACAACAATATAAAAAAAATTATGTTTTCGTCACAGAAATACTAATTTATTGAAATTCGATACAACGAACAAATTTAGACAATAGACAAGCAGGCAGACAGACAGATTGATTGATAAATTAATGTTAATTTACTTTCAGGACATAGACCAATCATCATTCATTCATCTGTCCACTAGGGAAAAGTACTGATGAGTAAAGCAAACAAACAAACAAACAGATAACAATGAGTTTATTGAATGAAATTGTGGGAAAAAAACATTTCTTCTTGTTCTTTTTAGACTTCACTATTTAATTGGAAGAGATGATGATGATGATGATGATGATGACGTACTAAAATGTAACAGACATAGTCATTTTCATGTTTTAATTATTCAACAGGTAGATGTGTTTTTCATCTTTATATTGAATAACTAAGGCATTTCCAAAGAAGATCAACCATGAATTACAAGACTAATAATGGCGTGTGTGTGTATGTCTGTCTATAAAATTACTTCCGTGTTATTTTCTTATCTTTTTTTGGTTGACAAAAAACAATTATTTACGTTTTTCTATGAATAACACACATGGTATATGGTTGATTTTATAAATTTTAATAAATTTCAGTAAGTTTTATTGTTCATGTAATTGTGTTTTCATTTTATTGATCATTTAATACGAAAGAAAAACGTTACACACATTTGTCTTACTTTCAGGTGAAATTCTTATGTAAGCCATAGTCTATAATACATACATGTATTATTTGCCTTAATTATAGTTCTATAAGTTGTGATGACGTCATGTGGACTCTCATTTTGTCACTTATACTTTATTGTCTGGTATATAACAGTAAAATATAATATTAATATATAGTACTTCGATAATAATAATAATAATATTATTATTATTATTGATAATGATATTCATGTCGAACCTGTATTAGAAATGCACGTATAAAGTTATTTGATGAATAGTGTTGTTTTTTCTTGTTGTAACATATGTGTAAAACATGTGTGAATGAGTATTATTATTATTATTATTATTATTATTATTACATAATTGCAATATATGTGTATTTTGTTGTTGAACACTGATGGGAAATTCTACTTGTTATTTGACATTTAACATGGGATTAATTTTACCAATATTTTCTAAACAGAATTTTTTTCTCAACATTTTATTCACATCATAAACTGATTTTAGTTATATATAATTATTTTGATAAATAAAAAAGTAATTAATTGTCTCATTAAGATCAAATCATATTGTAAACTAAGAGTAAATTTTACAAGGTCTTTCAAGTGGTCCAAATCTAGTACATTTAGAAATTTTGATCTATTTATAACATTGCGGCATAACTTCCCTTATTTGCCTTCTACATGTAACGAGTTTACAAACCCTCAAGTAAATTATATTAGACAGGTGGAAACCATTCAATAAATTATGTATGAAGATTGATCAAATTCACTTAGTATTACTTGTTTGAATCTTCCAATTGATGTTTAGGACTGCAACTGGTCAGTCTCTTATTGGCATATGTGCATACTGTGCGTATTGCCTCGATAAAGCCTTAATTCACAAGCATTTTAAGCAAAGACGAGTCCCAAATAGGATGAAACGCACGTCCTGGATTCCACTGCTAGCCACTGTCCATCTTTGCTTGAAGATTGATTATTTTTAAATTTTAAAGATGAACTCTTATAAAATACGATTTTATCATAATAAACTTTCGTATTAAAGATTAACAAACGTATGGATAAACGATTCCTTCTTTCCTCTTTTCTAGAAGTAAAAATAACTACTCAAATATGTCCAGCATTTTCTTATTGATAATTATCACCATAGCTAAGATTATCTGTTTTATTTTTTACATTTAGATAAATCTGAATTTTTTGTACGTTGACTGACAAGTATGATAGTACCTTCAATATACCTTCAATGAATTATTTTTATTGTTGAAATATTAGGTATATTTGAATTATGACGTATAATAAGATCCAGGAAGTTCACATCATTCTATTTAAGACTCACCATTCGGGGGTGTACTTACATCATTCCCAATATTGATTCTCACATTGAAGCTCGAACTCTGTCTCTTCAAAAGCCAAAGTATTTGAGTTCAGTTAGTCATTAGCGTGTTCACTAGATGTGATGCTCATTCGTGAAGATTTAGTATTATATCGCCATTGATATTGAAAACTGAATTCTGATCAATCTTTGTTAACATATATGAATTCTGTGCTAGCTTTTTCCTGGTAGCCGTCTTGCATATATATATATATATATATATATATATATATAGTAGCAAAGCTTTTTAATATTATTATTGGTATATTAAGATATAGCCACTGTATTATAAGGTGGATTTCTAATTCTTAATGTGTACTATTTGTGAATGTGAACTAAAGTCCACTATTTGATATCAATACCTTTGATAAATCATAACAAATAGAAATCAACTGTTTTAAATGTATTCGAAGAGGAAGAAATCTTTGAAGTAGATCAGTATACAATGATAGTATTATTTAGATTAGTATTCTTAAATCAACTTCATTAAATCAGTTGATTAATTCACTTAATTTAGTCATTTTCAATCATTTCATCGATTACAATTTACATGTTATAACATTTAATTCTTAACTTATGTATTGTATGAATCGAATAGATCTCTGTCATTGTTCTGATCAATAATTTCTTGAAAATGAGGAAGAAAGGCATGTCTTTAACTATTTGTCTTTTTTTCAGTCATCTGTGAATAATTCTAGTAAACAATAAAAATAAAGTGTGATTCAAACAATTTTTTTCGAATTCAATTATCAGTATAGGGTTTTGTGGAGACTATAGAATCTCCACAGTTTTTAAATTATGAACTGATCTTATTTAGGGTATCATTAAAATTGTGAAAGCACTGGACGAATGTTTGGTCCTAGTCTGGGACTCCTCAACAGTATGCATCCGGGAATCGGATCGATGACCTTCGATCTTGCTCGCAAACACTTAGCCTTTAGACTACTGAGGTGGCATTCAGAGTTTCCTAATTTTTAATAGTTGTTTCACTGAAATCAGTTTGCAATTTAAAAGCTATGAAAATTCTACAATATCCACAAAACTCTATGCTGAAAATAATCATCTACTCACTAGTAAGTAGCTTCAGGATGCAGTTCTTGGAGTTGTTTTGGGAAGTTATGGCCAGTGGAATGCAACCATATCGAGTGTTAGACGGTTATCTACTGCAAGCGAGGGCAGATGGTCGCGCAATATCATATAATTTAATTGTTTGTTAAATTATTTTTGAAACTTGTCTTGTTTTTCTCCGTGTACCTTTTCTTTCCTATGATATTATGGAATACACTAAGAAATTAAGCATACATGTATACGTATGGAGTCTGAATTTTGTGTTGAGACGTGAGTGAAATCATATTGTTAGTATTTGTTTAATCCTTCAATGTTAATTGTAAAAGATATTAGAATTTAAGGTGTTCACAACTGCTGACCTTTAAAACTGGTTATGGCAATAATAGTGATAATTTGCTAATAGGTTGCTATGTTCATAATGATGACGAAATTATTTTTAAACTTATGACATATTTAACCAATCAAATTTGTATTCTATTCTGACTTCGTTGTATATATATCTAATATGGACTATAAAATCAACGATATTTTAAAATATGATCGTCTTATACTCATTTACGTTTTACAATGTTAATTTCAAAAGGGAATTTCGATCGAAATCAAAGAAGCAGATCAAGGTTTTTTGGAATCCAAGACTATGATGATAATGATGTTTTCCAATCGAATGAGGATAACGGGAATTGTGGCACATTTACGAATACCTCTACAACAGCAAGCGGTTATAGTAGTTGTTTTACGAATAACATTACTGATGATAATGACAGTCAAACAATATTTCAATTTGATGAAATGTTTGGACAAAACACTTGTCAAGATGTAGATCAATGTTGGAGTAGTAGTTTATCTGACAGTCCTCCATTAGGTCGTCCACGAAGAGCAAATCCCAAACCGTTAACTGGTCGATATGAAGTTGAATTTCCAGGTATATTTGTTGAAGGATTTCGTGGAGGTCATGTGAAATTTAATATACCTGGAGTACTACAGGGTTCTCTGAAACCTACCGACTCAATGATAGTGAAAATCAACGTACCAAGTCCTGAACATTTCCATCTATCTGAAGTGTATGATCAGTCGTCATTTAGGAATTCTCCACAAACAGAAGGAGTTTCTCAGAATAGAGAAACTTCTACTGTAAGTACAAGTCGTTTTGCTACCTCATGTTTTGAACAAAACACACATCAGACGATGTCGGGTCATCACAGCACTACAATGCCTTATACTTCAGATATACTTTCAAACCTCCATTCTAATAATCCAAATCCTAGTGATTCATATCAGTTAAATTCTACAGATACTAATAAATCTGATGCTCATCTATTACGTTGTGGTACTACTACTGAATGTTCCACTATTTCGTCAAATCCCTGTTCTTCCAGTCGTTTCCCTAGTGTTTATGAAAGAATCTCTACAGATTCCGGTCTACCATCAAATTATTTAATGCGTCCAGTAATCTCTGGTCATAGCAAGATTGTCGAAGAAGATAACAGTAATGATAGAAGTGGTTTTGATATTGGTGACGGAGAGCGGAATCCAGTTAACTTTGGTAATGGAAATCATCAACTATCTCGTTTTGGACAATTCGGTACTTAATGAAAGATTATTATTATCATTATTATTACTATTATTATCATTATTATTACTTTCTGTCCAATTAAAATTTATTCTATAGACAATGCATTTTTTCCAAGTGTTATTTTTTCTATTTTGAATACTTATTGTGCTGTTTATGACTATTATTATTATATTGTTATTATTATTAATATTAATATTGTTATTCTTCCTTACCCCGTTGATTATTGGTACCAGACCATTGCACTTCTCAGTCACTACACACTATCCTCATCACTATGAGTGAATTCAACTTTATCTTATTTTATATTTGGAGTTAGAATTCTTTTTATTTGAAGAACTTCAGCTCATCAAGGAACTAGTTAATTTTTCTATACTCAGGTATATGTAGCTTACATTATACAGATATATATTTATTAGTTTCTATTTTGTGATCGTAAATATATATATATATATATATATATATTTCTCTTCTTCTCATTTGTGATGATGTTTAGAAGAGAAAACAAAACCGTAGTTCGATCTCATTGTAAATTTTGCCTTTGTTGGAATTTCAATAGTTTCCTTTTTACCTTTTGTCATTCACTTATTCGTATCGTATCCCGATATATGCAGTAATATTAAAGGTCTTATATTTGTATATTAAACCTCCATTATGCAGTGCCTCGATAAACTAGAAAAGCTTGAAAGTTTTTGTACTGCCTTATTATTATTATTGTCGTTTTTTGTTGTCAGTGCTACTTTTTTATCCTAACGAAACAGATCTGAAAATGTATTTCTTCTGACTGGCAACATTATTATTATTATTTCTATAAATTAACTATTTTTCTGATTTTCGTGTTTGTCTATGTGTATAACGAATTGTTTAAGTACAAAAGACATAGAATGACAACATGGAAAATATTGTTTATAAAATTTATCTATATTACTATTGTATTATTTTTCATTTTTCATAGCCTAATTACATTCCATTATTATTATTATTCGTATTATTACAACTATTACGACTATTATTAGGAATTCTTGTTTGGCGGTGTTATAAATTGTTCGAAATGGGAAACAAAATAAAATTTGAAAAACAAAATATATTACCTACTTTAAATTTTTTTTTTCAAATTTAGGAAGTCCTTTTGTTCTATATTGATTCATTAGGATTTCATTTAAATCTGAGTATGTTGTTTAAGTGGTAATTAAGGCTGATAAAATATTTTCAATACTTTAATGGTTTGGGATGCAATCTTACAACGGGAAGGATTGCTTTTCAGATTAAAGATATGCATAGCTATCGGGCTTCAAAAAGCGTTAAGCACAAAGAGTCGAACATTCGCACCTTAAGTTTATGTGGCTTAGAGCGTGATCTTGGCCATCCCTTGGTAATTAAGTACTGTACTCTAAGAGAGACGGCTCATTAAGTTTGGCCATAGATTATAATTGATTTTTAAGAGCATGATAACGTGAATAAGTTAAAAGTACATGGAACGGTGTAACAATACTTGAACTTAATATGTTTCTGATTGATTGGTAATTTGTACTTATAAGATGATTATAGAGTGAGTTTTTATGGTTATCGATAAATTTTATGTTCGAAAACCGTGAAATATTGCGACGAGAAACTTTTGGTTTGTGAATATTTTCATTTAGACGTGTAATTTATATGACACCACACTTTAGTAAGACCAGGAGCAGATGATTTTAAAAATATTTGATGTACAAAATTTCCGTTTGTAGTTTGGCGTAATGAAAAATTGTTTTAATCATTTCATTCCGTAGTGTAATTCCAATCACTTCACTAAGCACAAATGAAACAGAGGTAAATATAAATTGATTTAACTCAACAGTTGGGATTTGTTTCTGACAAATAAAGATTCATATTCTCCTATTATTCATTATGTACAGCAGTAACAGTTTATATTGATTTAACTCAACAGTTGGGATTTGTTTCTGACAAATAAAGATTCATATTCTCCTATTATTCATTATGTACAGCAGTAACAGTTTATATTCTGTTTAAAAAATACAAATACTGGAGACAATATAACATTGATTTAAGTAACTTTTAGACCAAAAAAAAGTCGATCAGTTTAACCGTTCAAACCAACAACATGAACATAAAACAATGTAGCAATCAGAGTAAATAAAAAGACATAGGTTTTATAATAAATTAACATCTTAACTGTAGGTTACTGAATTAGGTACTATTGTGGTGCGTGCTACTGATGTCAACAGATATAAGTAGTATATGTCACCGATCGAAAGTGAAATGCCTGATGGCAGAAGCTTGAGAAAATCGAAATTAGACTGAGACATTTAGATGATATCCAATAACAACTGTTTCATAGAGCCAGGTAGTCCATATTAACGATAGAGTGGGATGACTCGTCCAATATTCATCGGTATATGTTGAATTAGAGTGAGCTCGATCTCCATCTAGCCTCTTAAGTTCATGAAACAAAGTTTCACCGTAATCAAGGTACAACATGAAGGTATGAGTCGAACTCAAACCAGGTGAAGTCATTCAAGTTGTATTATAATTCAGAACCATAGTTCTACCAAAGGTTGTTTTATTAATTTTCATATACATATCACAATTTTCCATTGAAGCTATCTATTGTTGTTAAGATGTGCTAGTTAATAAAGTTCGAAATTCTTATGAGACGATTAACTGCAAGGAGGATTGAGGCACTATGAAAGGAAAGATCGATACTAAATTCCTCTTTATTAGTAGTATAATTTTCTGATGACAAACTATTTTTATATTGAATTAATCAACATGAACAGAAAAAAGCTAGATAAAAATCCTATAAATAACTAATAGAGAATCAAGAGCTGTTGTATAAATTACACTCTACGACTGAATTTTTACCTAACCTGTCAAATAAAATACGACTTTATAGATGAGTAGGAAGAAGTAGCTTAAGATTATTATCAACATATACGATAATTATATACATATACATAATTTAGTCTAATTTGTTTGCTCGTTAGATTATCGTTGGTTCCTTTTACTTCCAAAATTACTCTATAGTTGGAAAACATGTTCTTTGAAAGTAGAAAAGATGAGTAGATTGTTGTTATTTTACCATGTATATCTTCGAAACAATACTCTGAAAATAAAGGAACCTCTTTGGAATCAATATTATGGTAAAGAGTAAACTGCATTTTTTTGTCTGCTCAGCCATTAACTATTCTAACATACACGAACCAGTCGAATAAGCAAACTTTTTAATGATTTGCAGGACCTTAGCATTAAAATGTATTGGTTAGTTTTCTATTTCGATTCAACCGACTACCGAATACTTTCGTGATAAAAAAAGTATATGAAGAAAAGCAAATGTTTGGAGGTATTGGGCAGGAAAGCGTACACTGAACCATCTAACACCCTAAATCACTTAAACTAGTGGTTACATTTTAACTTGATTGTTAAAATTCGCTCAGCAGTAGAGGAACAGACAATCATAAAACTGACCACTGCTTAATCAGAGATAGTGAATACTGTCGATATTTGTTTATTCCCTCTTTGATGTCGGTACATATTTGTCTGATAGCTTTTATTACTTATAGATCGTATTGTACTGTAAAGGAGTAGAATAAAATTGCTTGATAACAAACAGTATATTTTTATTTATATTCATTAGTACTTACCATTTGATTTACGTAACCTTTTAATTTGTTTTATAATTAAATATACAAGGTATATTCTATGCAACGTATTTTTAAAACAAAAATTTGTAACCAAAAACGAAGATTGAAATATAAATTAAAGTAACATAGTGTTTAAAGTAGATGAAATTTCTCTTAGGTAAAAAAATACGATTCCTTTTTCATTTGGTAATCAATTGTTTTAAATATCTATAAAAGTCAAATTTCTATGTTTTAGGAAATAAAAAAACTGGTTGGATTTTAAAATTATGAGAAAATGTATTGCTAGGCCAATAAAATAAGTGGTTTGTCAATTCATGAGAGGTTTTGGATGGATGATTTGTTGTTATTCCATTTAAGTGTATATGTATCTATTTAAAGTAACTTCTACGACATCGTAAAATGACTGGATTTAAATGTGTGGACATTTAGATTCCAAATCATTAAACAAACATATTACATTTACCACTTAGATTAGAGGATTCTAGTTGCATGCCCGTGTGGGGTTTCAGATGTTCACTTCTGAAGATCCTGGGGTCGAGAACGAAGCATTTTTTCATAGTTAATTGGTTCCCAATGGTTTTTTAACTACCTGAAACCCCTTGAAATTTCTACACTTTTATAGACAAATATCTCAACCCTTAGATAAGATCAATAATAAACGTTCTTGTTCATAATCAAATTATTTTTGATAGGTAATATCTGATAGCTGTTCATACAGTTATGGTATTAAAACGTATCAATTTTTCTGATAGATGTCAAGTAACTAATCATTATTGTACTCAATCTATCAATTAGAGTTTATATTACTCCATTGTTTTATGTTCTCCCTTTTTTCTTACTGGTTTAGTTATCTTGTAGATAGATTGAGCCAACTTACCATTTGAATATCACGATACCTACTTCAATAATTTTTAGCTACTTCATACTTTAGAAACGAAGAACCTATTTTATTCATATTAAAGATAATGAAGAGCTAACTGATCGAATTAGAATTAAAAAATTGATTTGTAGAAGAATACGAAAAAGAAACATTCAGATAACGGATACTGTAGTCCATTTACGAAGCATGCTTTTGTTGGGGCAATCCTGAAAATTTCTCGCGACAGACAAGACTCAAGAAACATTAAGAAACATTTTATCCAATCAGCGTTTGACTAGAAGTTTTGCTAGAAACATCACGAAAGTGAAAAGTCACGTGTAAAGTTTCTGATTGGATGATTACTGCACTGCTACAATGTTTAGTAGCATTCCAGAATTTTCAGGAAAACCCCAGGACTTTTAAAATAACATAAAAACCCTATATTTTCCGTTCACAAATGAACCTTTAGAGTAAAGTGCTTCTCGCATATTTTGTGCCTTTTCTCTCGTATTCAAGTCATTGTGTAGATTTAGCTTGGAGGTTATGAGACTAGCTTAGGATCCGAGTATAGCGTTCAATTAGCAAGACTTATCAGTTTTGTAAACACTAGGTAATATCTACTCTGTTGCTTATATACTTACGGAACCCTTGAATAATGGGAATAGTAAGAGATATGTTGTCATTTTGGATGACCGCGTTAATTCTGTCTAACCCTTTTACAATCATTTCCGACTTATTAGACGTTATTTTGCTAATTACATTATATTACTTAATAATGTAGAGTAACTAATCCATTTTCAATCATTTTTAGATGATATAATGTAACATTCTCTCCATTGTCGTATAGTATTTCTTGGAACTTAACTTAACATTTAGGATTCAGTATATTTATTATGGCAACTAGGTATTCATAACACTTTTAACAGTTAATTTCAATCCTTGTGCATTCACTGGACATTT